GCTGAGGACTTATTTAAATAACTTTAACAAATATCCCAGAGGGAAAACCTAATCTAGGCATTTCATAGTGCAGATCTGCAAAATGAAAATCAAGTGCTGCGTCCCCATATACCTTCAACCACGTCTTCTGGATCACCCGAGATAAATGCTAACAAGGAGTGAGATCCAGCCCCCTCCACCTTATTAATATGTAAAAAGGCTGAAGTCACATCTGTGCTGAGATCTATTTTTAGTGGACCCTACATACTAAAATCTTAGCCTTGATCTCTTAAACTATCAAGCCTACCATCCATAAATGTTTGATGATGAACAAGGCCATAAAAAGAAAATGCATAAAATGAATAGAGGGAGTCAATGCGTGCTCTGCCTTTTAATTACTGGTGGCTTATGCAAAAGTCCTGCTGCAGGCTGGGTGCAGGCTAAGAAAAGACATCAATAATTTGGAGTGGGAGGGGGGAATGTATGGCAAATAAATGCCTCTAAACACATGGTTATTTATGCTTTGGAAACCAGAGAGAAATGGGGGAATGGAATCATCAGGGTGGGGTGGGGTGGTGGGAGGATAACAGGTGGCGGGGTGGGGCAAGGGTTTTTAGATAGGGGGAAAAATAAGACATAAATAACAGCATTCAGGACACCAAAGATAATATAGAACAGTCTGGTTTTATTACTATTGAGTAATAAAGAGCCTTTTCCTTGATTTTCCCCCTCCTTTCCCCCCCTTTTTTTCTTTCCTTTTTTTCTCTTTTTCATAACATACATTAAGTTGTGAATCCGATGTTAGGGGCTGTGGAGATGGAAGGGAAATTGGTGACATCACAATATTTTTACAACTTTACAACAAACGTAACTCTGAGTTGGATGCATCTACCAGTGGCTAGCAGGGGTGGAAAGCAAAGGCACACTCGGGTTTGTGGATTCTCCTCCCACAGACAGTGGGGAAAAAAAAAGAAAAAGTCAACGAGGGGAAATACTTAAATGCAGAAGACCTGCTCAAATACGTGTGGACATCTTAGGCTTAACACCGTGACGTGATGGGTTGTGGTACACAGGGATGTGTAAGGTCAGTTTTGACACAAATTGACATAACACAACGGAGGCAGCGATGCCCATCCACTCCTGCCTCTGAGGGCCTGTGGGTGCGGCGCCATCAATACTCTAGGGAGTCAGGCATGGGGAGAAGGTAGCAGGGTGATGTGTGGTGTGTGTGTATATATATATATATATATATCTATAACCTTCTAATGTCTGCATTTCTAGAGAAAAGGGGGGAGGAGATCTCAGTGTCTAGAAGAGACTTCAGGGTTTCAGGATAAACCCAACCCAACCCAAGCAAAACAACAACTTAACAACAACGAAACGCTACCCTGAACAATCACAATGCAGCCGTGCACTGACCCGCCCTCCAGGTAACCACCTCTTTCTCCCCAGCCAACTCAACAGTGTCCTTCCGTGTCAGTCTTTCATTGTCTTTGCAAAGTTGGTTTTTTTAATTAAGAATAAAATGAAACCCAGAAGATTAAACTGGAAATAAAGGAGACAAGAGACCACCAAATGAACCATTTAACAAAGCAGTAACAACCAACCACGCTCACAGTTTACAGTATGTTGACAGTTCTTTTGTTCATAAGAGCGTAAACAATAGTCCCTTCTTCTGTGTTTGAGCAAATAAAAACCAAGGGGAGAAAAACACACCCCTCCCCCCCTCCAAGAAACAATAACAACAAAAGGATAGATTTTTTTTTTTAATGGGAAAAAACATCTTTTGCCCTGGTCAATGTTTTGCCAATTTATTGTGGTTGGCCTTGTCCTGCGAGTTACTCATTAATCACTGCGGGGACCAGCCTGCCTGCATCCAGTTCCATGTCGTCCATTCTGTGCATTGCGCACGTGTACTGAGCACACGCCTTGGGGAACCTCGGTTCCCAGGTGCCCGCCCGATCACACACTGTGCTCTCCGGCACGTGGGCACAGCAGAAATGAAGACGGGGGCACTCGTCCCTTTCCTGCTGGCTACGAAGGAGATCCCCAGAGTGAAATGATCTGAGAATGTAAAGGACGCGGGGAACTCTGAAGGAAGAAAGGGGTTCGCCACCCACAACACTGGGGCCAGTGCTCAGCAACAGCACGGCCAAAGGGTGCTTCGAGTTGGCACTAGAAGAAAGTGTGCATCGGAGGGCCCGGAGGCCGCCCAGCTTTCAAGCTGGGCTCTGGGATCACTACCATCACGGCCGCGCTCTTCTCCCATCTGCTTGACTCCGCTCTCCCAGAGGGCTGGAGTGGAGGTGGGGGGAGGGAGGATGAAATAAATATCTGCATTGATTTCAAAAGGGCGGGGGGAGGTGAGTTTATCATACCGACAGTTTACAAGTGTACACAACTCGGGTGTAAGGCACAAATTTACATGTGGAAAACAGGCTATTCACAGATGTAACCCCACGAAAAACCCGTGTGATTAAAACCATTAACTTATGCAAGGTAGCAGCCAGCGTATTAATGAGTTCACACCGTTTGTGGATTTGTATCTGCTGTCTCACATGCAAGGTGAAATGATGGGGGATCACAAGCTGGTGCCTTCCCGGAAGAGGCGTTACCACCGACAAAGCCACGCTGGCAGCAATGGGGCTCGCCGGATGTGCCGTTCTAAAACTTTCTCTCCAGCTTGCTTTAGACATGAGGGTCTGGAAGGACTTTTAAACAAGTTAATATATTTTTTTTTCATGTATAGGCCAGCAAATTAATTGATAGATTTAAATAAATATCCCCCTCTTAACTCTTTCCTCTGGCTAGCGATTAGACAGTCCAAACACAAAGCTCAGAATTCCAGCTCCAACTTATTGACTCAGTGAATTTATTGTAAAAATAAAGAAACTCAATTATTCCAGTTAATGGATTTCACGTTAAATAGTTTAACTTTCAGTGGGCTTTCTGAAGAGCTGTTCGTAGGAGGATATGCGGAAGAGTCCTTTCGGTCAGAAAAAAAAGGGTGAACAATAAATAAAGAGTTACTTGCGCTAACCGTCACGTTATTCATTAAAAGAGAGGAGGAGCAGAAATTTATGACATAGTTGCCCAACATGGCATTAATCTGCTATAACAGAAAGCTGTAGTGGGCATTTCACAGTATCTGCGCATAGTAAACTTCTGCCATTGTTAAAGTCTGAGTTAGAATTATCAATGCTTTCTTTATTTTTTTTTTTGTCTTTTTAATTTTCATAATCTTAAAAAATGTATTTGTGGTTTTTTTTTGTTTTTTTTTGCAGGTTGGAACACTAGCCCTGGTGGGCAACGTCCCGTGCAGTCATGGACAAATTGTAGTAGCTTGTTCACCTCTGTGTGTGTGTGTGTGTGTCCGTGGTGTGTGTAGGCATGTGTGTGTGTGCGTGCATGGGTGAGTATGTGCTTTTGGCTCATGTTTGTGATGATCATCGAAGTCTTTTGTGAGTCCAACCATGGCGGTGTGTGAGGGCGAGTGAAGGAAGAGAGTGGGGGCAAGTCCCGCAGTTGCAAACCTTCACCAAACCACGTGGTCCGTTTCCCCAGAGCATCCCTGTGTCCCAGCGAGGAGGACCCGGTGTCCTCAGCCCTACCGCGGGGCCGTCCTGGTCAGGTGGGCGCTCTGAGGCAGTTGAGAACCTTGCAGAGCAGAGCGGGCGCCTCGCCGTTCCTGCTGGTTCGACACCTGACCCCCTCCCCCTGGGATTATGTACAAGCATCGTTGGGCTTCATGGATGTGGAAAGGGGGGCAAAGGAAGGTTTGGGGGGTACGTCGGGCTTTAGCGAGGGCGTGCGCTTCAGCCCCGACCGCGTCAGTGAGTTGTAGGCGTTGAGGCTGGGCTGCCTGGAAACAGTCCCGGCCTGGCCCTGCAGCTGGGCGCTGTGCATCTGGATCGAGTCCACCCTCTGCGGGGCGGGCGGTGGGTTGTCTCCCCTGCCAAAGCTCGGGTTTCTGGAGAGGTGGGACGAATTGGAGGAGTTAGTATTGTTTCTTTTGAGCGTGGTGGCCTGGTGGCTTCTGGTGAGCGAGTTCGTGGGGTAGCTCCTCTTATAGTCCACCCCGTAGGAGGAGGAGTGGTGCATCTCCAGCCGCTTGCTCAGGCCATTCTGAGACAGAGGGGCTCCCGGAGGGCCCAGGGAGGCTTCCCGCTGGGGGACTTTGGGGGGCAGGCTGTCCAGGTTCTCCACGAGGTTCACCCCGTGGTTGGGACTCTTGCTGCTGAGGTGCTCCTTGATGGTCTTGTACTCCAGCGTGGCGGCCTGCTCCTCCAGCGCCATCTGGGCCACCTCGCTCATTTTGGCCTGGTCCACGTACTCGTGCTGGTAGCTCTGCTGCGTGATGGGCAGCACCACCACGCTGGGGATGTGACTGGGGGAAGCCCGCAGGGGCAGGTCCGTGGGGATCACGGGGGAGGCCATGGGGGGCATGTCCTTCGTGCAGGCATTGATGAGGTTCTGGTTCCGTTCCCACTCCCGGCTGCCGCGGCTGGGCTTCCGCTTCTGCTGGAGGGTTGGGGTGGACTCGGGGGTGGGCAGGGCGGCCAGGTCCAAGTGGTGCTGGTCCGCCTTAATGAGCATCTTGGCCGTGCTGCTGGGCGTGGCCAGCTTGCCGTTGTGCATGAGCGGTGTGAGGATGGCCTCTGGCTTGGGGTCTTTGGACTGCGGGTCCCCGAAGAGGCCACTGAGTTTGGTCACGCTGCTCATGGAGCCCCGGCGCGAGTGCGGGAGCTCCTTCTCCTTACGCTGGCCCGCCGTGCCGTCTTTGCGCCGGTGGTCGCAGATGCAGTAGACGATGATGCCCGAGAAGACGGCCCCCATGACAAAAGCCAGAATGACCGCGATGGCCAAGAGGGTGACGGGAACCAGCTGGTCGTGGCCTTTGAGGTAACTTTCCCGTATCACTCCTGCAAGAGACATCACACGTGGTGTTAGGAAATGAAGTCACGCCACCTGGCTTACTTCTGTTTGGCAATCACCCTGTTCATTAATAACAGTAATGAGTGACGATAGCACCTCTGCCTAACTCGTCTGCAAGGCGCAGCTTGCCAAACATTAACTAATGAATCCTCCGGAAGGTCCCTCTGTGAAGGGTGGAAATAGACTTCGTTTGCTGCCTTCTTTGTGTTCGCAAAACATGCTCCTTCTACTGTCCTGTGTGCTTCCCTCCCTCCTTGAAAGACGCCGTGGTTCATTGTAAGCCATTCGTGTATTCCCCCGCCTTTGGGAACCTCCCCTCGTAGACTGCAGATCACGCCAGGTCTGGCACAAGAGGGAACCCCTGCGCTGCTTTGGGTTGTTGGCGGCTGTAAGGTCCATCGGACCCCCCCCCCCCCCAGGGGGTCAGTGCCGTGGGCTGGGTCTTGGGCTAGCAGCTCGCCATGCCAGGGCTGGCTTCACCAGGAAGCACGGAAGGCAAAGGCTTTCAGTGCAGGAAGTCCACAAGGGGGTTCATTGTGTTTGCTGACTAATCTGTAGTCAACCCTTTTCATTGTATTATTATTCTTTTTATTATTAGACCCGCTGAGACCCAGGTGAAATTGTTATTTACCGATTTATCAGGAAACACCATCTAGCCCATGCACTGCTTATTGGGCAATCCGTCCTTGGCCCATTCTTTTTTTCCAATTCCTCTGGTTGAGTTGGTGTGAACCACCAACAACATTTCAGTGAGTAGTCCAGCGCTGAACTACTTGCGTTTCCTCCCATCCCCCCACCCCCCCCAAACCCCGCGAGAATTTGTCCGTAATAACACGTCATGATTGCAGCTGGTCTCTTCCAGGGACCCCTTTGTGGGTCCCCGGGCCTGTCTTAAGTCAAACTCTTTCAAGCAACCAGAGCAAAGACGGTGCGTGTCTTTTACAACGAAAGAGAATCGCTAACGTTCACAGATGACAAATGTTTGTACTGGTTTTGCAGCACCCCTCCAAAGCAACCACCACCACAACAAAAACCCCCGCACGCAATTTCAGGTACATCTGCTGAAGCTTTCTCCTTACTGGCACTCAGAGGATATTATTAAGAAAGAAAGAGCGCAACCAAGACCGTGTGGAGCCCTAGAGTGGGGCTTGAGACGGGTCAGGTCTCATTATTGCGGCTCCAGTTTGCTGTCACGGTGAGCTAACCTCCTCAATGTAATAAAAATGATGTGACTACACCCGTCAATAATCTTCCACTACATTAACCAAGGCGCTGCGTTTCCGAAGAAAGTGGCTTTCCCTGTTCCTGCTTAATCAGCCACCAAGCCGAGAGACTCTAATCAAATGCAAACACCGAAGCTTTTATTTTTTAATACCAAGTGAGAATACACATCACAATTGTCAGATCTTAAGTGCTTGGTGCGGTAGCTGAAAAAGAAAATCTCAAATACCTCAATTCCTGCCTCGGGAGAGCGAAGGAACAGGAATACATTAGAGGCACTGCATGGGCTGAGGAAATGTAAACATTGTTCCTATTACGGAAATGATAGCGAGACAGAAAATGTACCTTCTTGGGTCTTGGGAGACACATTTTTCATCTACTAAATCAACTCTTTCTGGAATATGTTTAATGTATTTTACTGGCAGACACTGGTGGCACAGAATTAGAATGAAATGAAATAAAAATCCCTCCCCCTTCCCAAGGCCACAACGTGCAACCCTTAAACTTCTGCCAAAGGACTTATTGTACGTCACAACGGACCCTGGAAGAAATGCAGCTTTGTTGCGGGGATTTGCTGCGGAAATGTTTTGATTCCTGAAGAGCTGGCTTAAGACTCAGACACGTTTGCTCCAAGATGCTGTTCTTCCTCTCTCTCCAAACAGTCCTCCTCCCTACGGTTATGATGTCACTGCTGGTTGCTGTGGAAATGATTATTCTGTGATAAATTATTGTGACTTCAGGTGGGGAATAAATAGAAGCAGCAAGTATTTCTTAAGAAACAAAAGACGCTGTGATTAAGCAAATGCCTGGGATCGTGCAGGGCAGCCCAGGCAGTTGGCCCTGGAGAAAAGAGGGTGTGAAAGTGGTAAGATAGGGAATGAGTTCCAAATGTGTCACTTCTCCAATATTTCCAGATTTATCTCCATGAACTTTTTAAAAGGGTAGAAATGAGAAACAAAAAACCAGCAGGGAGATGTAACGGTAACTCACACCTCTAATGCGGTGGAGCTCCCCAAATGGTGGCATGTCTTGCATTCAAATCTTTTTAATATCCAGTCACCAAGGAACGGTGCTAATGAAAATTTCTTCCTAAAATTTGCATTTCCTCGTTGTCATGCTAAAATAGCAACTGATTTCCTCTCTGTTTTGATTGTGTATGGGGTTCTCTCATGCATCTTTTTTAACCTCCTACATGTAATTGCACCAAAAAGAATGCACACCTGTGAATAAAGTGGGTTTAATTTCCCATGTTGACGTGGGGATTTCAGTGTAAGCTCGGGCAGGTTGGACTGAACCCACTGAGGATACTTGGTACATTCGCCCCCACCCCCCACCCCCACCCCAACTCCCGAAATGTCACCATTCTAAGTATCTATATTCCTTTGGGGGAGGCGTCTTCCCAATAAATCATGTAGTTGTATCATACACCT